GGTTTGCCTTCTTTGTTCCCGACTGACTGCTCTGCTTCTCTGTATTTCCCTCCAAGCTTCTTCACCGTATCGAATAGCTTTTTCATGTTTCCTTCTCTTACGGCTTGTTTCACTGCAATTGTTAGGTCTTTATGTATATCTGCCTGTCGGTTCCGATATTCTTCACCACCCGTCTGTTTGCTTCTGTATATTCGATCTGAGAGCTACTTTCACTGCATTCATTCGGCTGTTTTTAACTGGTATTTTCTCGACCCCCCCCCCCTGAATCTTACCCAGTGTGTTATTAGAAATTCATTGTATGCTCTGATGCTTCTTTGGACCCATCACTTCTTAGTATGTTCAAGTCGTCACTTCTTTAATCCCTTACTAGTTGTTCTCCATGGTGATTTTATATTCTAGTAGGCTTTTTAAGTTTTGTGACTTGATACGGAGAGCTATGTTGAACTGTCTGAGCTTGGGAGCATCTCGAAAAACGTCTGTAACAAACTTGTGTAGTGGTGCTTGCTCAGGTGTCCAGTGATTCTTTAGCTTCAGTTGTGACGATTCACAAACCTCATTCAGAGTGATTTTGTCATTCACTCAAGCTTTGTAATGTTTTACATTCGTAGTCAGTGATGATGAATCATAGATCTGATGAAATGATGTGTAGTATGGTTGGGAATCCTATTCTTCTTGATATCAATATCCATAGATGTGTGATGAGGTCAACCATAGGTTATGCATTAACATGAATTAGCTCTTATTTAGTGGGAGAGTCAGAGAATTTTCATCTTTTTATGTAGTTCAATGAGCTGCGACTGTGTGGACATTAAGTTGTTGCACAGAGAAGATAAATTTATCCTCTAACATCTACATGATTTTAGCTATATACTCACTATACTACTTAATAATTATAAGTAGCTATAATTGTATCCAAGTTCATCATTGCAGTAGCAATTGTGACGAATACCAACAGTTATTATGAGAACTTCTTGTAGCATTGATTTATTTTAATCATGCCTTGGGCTAGAATCTTATTTTCTCCTTCTGAGAACGCTACAATCTAGGCCTTTGTTTACCTTCAATGAATTGTCTACTCTCCAGTGTTGGGTATCCCTTGGATTCCGTTAACTACTGGTATCCATTTCTGACTGTGAGTGTAGTTTCCTAGTTTATATTTACGCTCTATAATTCCATACTTATAGACTTATCTGGAGGAATAATTTTCCTTTTGATAGAAGAATGTTCCTCGAGTCCATTATGATTCGAAACTTGCGGGTTCTTCGTACCTTTTCTGTATATGTACAGTATTGAAGGTTTCTTAGCATTCACATGCAACTCAGGGCCGTCTTTTATACTTTATTGGCTCCATCAGAATTTACTGATATTGGTATATTCTCGAGGGAGTGATTCTAAACAATAACTTGGACGAAAATTTAAACAAATTTCATATCCACAAGGTGCTTTAATTTCATGGATGATCCATAATGATTCGAAACTTGCGGGTTCTTCGTACCTTTTCTATATATGTACAGTATTGAAGGTTTCTTAGCTTACAAATGCAACTCAATTGTCAGGTTAGAATCTTTATGAATTGCTCTCCGAGCGATCTAATTGATGTAGGTTAGAATAAAGCTAATAGCTGTGTACCAACGACGACGTCAATTAAGTTTTATATAATTCATCCTTTAGTATTGTGGTCCGACGATTCATTTGTTTTTAATATTAAGTACTGGATATTTCCAACGACATTCACCAAAACACCAGATTCTGTGGGAGAACTTTTAGGAATATTGGGTTTTCAGACAGGAGGTTAGTCACGGCTCGGATAGCTCAGTGGTAACGTCTCTGACTGTGAAGCTGGGTGACACGAGATCGAATCCGCCAGGGAGCACCAGTTCCCTCAAGATTACAGGTACACCTTGCTGACGAGTGCCAAGTAGCACGAAACCCGGGTCCAGGGTTTCCTGTTGACTACCTCCAACCACCATCTAATCTCAATACATAGTGCCCGCAGTGTCGAGTCACCTAGACTGGTGGCCACATTGCAACATGATCGATAGCATTCGATCTGCACTATTAAGGACTAGACAAGCATGAGATTGTTCACCACCCAGTGATCAATCAATTGTGATTACATCTCAGTCCTACAGGAGGTTAGTCACGGCTCGGATAGCTCAGTGGTAACGTCTCTGACTGTGAAGCTGGGTGACACGAGATCGAATCCGCCAGGGAGCACCAGTTCCCTCAAGATTACAGGTACACCTTGCTGACGAGTGCCAAGTAGCACGAAACCCGGGTCCAGGGTTTCCTGTTGACTACCTCCAACCACCATCTAATCTAAGTACTGGATATTTCCAACGACATTCACCAAAACACCAGATTCTGTGGGAGAACTTTTAGGAATATTGGGTTTTCAGACAGATGAAATATCCAACGTGATATATCTTTTCGTCATTCACCTAAATCAATATTACGTTAATTATTTAAGTGTCTAGGAAATAAGCTGCTTAGTTAAAATAACTTCGCATTCAAATTGATGAAAATGTCTAGGGTATACATCATCGAAATTACAAATAAATCAAGATATGACCCGGGTGTACGAAGCAAGTTCACAAAGTACTTACTTACGCCTGTTACTTCCAATGGCGCATAGGCCGCCGACCAGCAATCTTCAACCCACTCCGTCCTGGGCCTTCCTTTCCAGTCCTATCCAATTTTTGTTCCTTCTTTTTATATCTCCATTTCTAAGCTTAATGTGTTCTTAAGTCGTCCTCTCCTGATTTGACCTTGAGGATTCCATGTGAGGGCTTGTCTTGTGACGCAGTTGGGCGCTTTCCTCAATGTGTGTCCCATCCACCTCCAGCGCTTCTTCCTGATCTATGCCTCCGCTGGGATCTGGTTTGTTCTCTACCACAGTACGTTGTTGCTAACAGTGTCCGGCCAACGGATCCGAAGTACTTTGCGTAGACAACTGTTAATAAACAATTGTGTCTTCTGGATGATGGCTTTCGTAGTTCTCCACGTTTCCGCCCCATACAGTAGAACTGTTTCAACATTTTTGAAAATTCTGACCTTGGTGTTGGTTGACAATTGTTTTGACTTGCAGATGTTCTTCAGTTGTAAATATACTGCTCTTGCTTTGCCGATCAGCGCCTTCACATCTGCATCAGATCCATAGTGTTGTCCTGTCCCCGCTATCAAATGCTTCTTCGTAGTCAATGAAGTTGATATAGAGTGATGAATTCCATTCAATTGATTGTTCCACAATGATCTGTAGTGTTGCAATTTGGTCTGTACACGATCGATCCTTACAGAATTTAGTTTGTTGGTCTCGAAGTTGGGCGTCTGCGCAGTCCTTCATTGTTTAACAATACCCTGCTGAAGACTTTTCCGGTATTGAGAAAAGAGCGATGCCTCTGTAGTTAACACACTTGCTGAGATCGCCTTTCTTCGGTATCATGATCAGGTGTCCTTCTTTCCAGTCTGTTGATACTTGTTCCTCATCTCAAATCCTGCTGAAGAGAATGTGGAGTATCTTTGCAGTTGCCGCTACGTCTGCTTTTAGTGCCTCTGCTGGGATGTTGTCCGGTCCTGTTGCTTTGCCACACTTGATTTGTCTGATGGCCATGCTGATTTCTTCAATTGTTGGTGGGCCAACATCAATTGGGAGGTCCGTGGGCGCTGCTTTAAGGTTGGGTGGGTTCTGTGGGGTTGGTCAATTCAAGGGTCCTTTGAAGTGCTCTACCCACCTGTTTCGCTGTTCTTCAATGTTGGCAATTACTTTGCCTTTCACTGGTCGCTCTGGTTTACGATCATTTCAAGCGAGCTTCTTTGTTGTATCATACAATTGTTTCATGTTTCCTTCTCTTGCAGCCTTTTCCGCCGTCATTGCTAGATCTTCCACATATTTGCGTGTCGGTTCTGATGCTCCTCTTCTCTTGTTTGTTTACTTCTGTGTATTCAGCTTGTACCTTGACTTTTTCTGCTCTTGTTCGGCTGGTATTGATTGCTGCTTAAGTTCACAAAGTATCAGACGTTTAATTACTGTTGTGTTTGAATTACACATTTTCTGTCCCAAGAATGACCACACTTTGTAGGTGTTTTAGACATCGTAATTAAATTTGACTCAATCGGAAAGAAATTAATCCTCATCTGTACATTGCTCTTAAAATTTATAGACTATGTAACTACTTGGGTGGCTATTCTTTCGAAAGATGCCACATCAGGTAATTATATTATGTTCCCAGTATGGTAGATGTACTGCAGTTCTTTTGAATGAGCTTTGCGCATAAAATTCCGATTTTGCATTTTAACACCGTTATTACTCGTTTCAAAACACAATGACCATTTTTAGTTAAGAAATGACTGTGAAGATTTGACAGATTGATGTCTACCTACAAGTTGGTGTGCCCCTTGTTGGTAATAAACAATATGCATCGGTTCATTTCAATACGATTTCACAAATAAAGGATGTTATATTATCGTGAATTACTATTCCGAATATACTGGGACGAGATCCTGATTAGTTCCTATGGCCAGGTAAACGTAAGGTAACGTGTAGAAAACAATGACTTTCCCTCAACTTCCAATTGAGTTTACTTTTATGGAAACCAATAAAGTTCGGAATCGAACTGTGACAACGACAGTAAGTAAACTAATGAAATAATCTTACATGTCCACTTTTTTAAGTTACTCAAGTTAGCTAAAATAAAGCAGTTATCTCCCCCATATTATCCTGATTGTAATAATAACGAACTATGAAATCCATGACCAGTTTCAAACCATACTATATGAATGCACGCAATATCGCATGGTTATCTAGACCAGAGTAAATAAGACGAGGTAGTTCAGGCATTGTTCTTGAAGTATTTTGACTAATGATCGTTTTACACTCCATGAGGTATCGAAATATCAATATAAGCATTATAGAGAAGCTAATACAATTGAAGAGAAACAGAATTTACACACCCTAATACTGAGCATTGATTTTAATGATCTGCAGTGCGAATAAAACAAACTACGAGTAAATAAATTTTATATTTTATCAAAAATATTCTATTCATAAAACTGTTGACAGGGTTGACAACTGAAGTCAGTACTGTACAAAGTCCTCTTAATTATTTCTCAGCAGAAGTAGTTTATGGTTAAAATTTACTATAGCATTAACATAATGGTATGGATTATAAAAACCACAATAATATTTCTGATGAGATTCATAATGAAAAAAATATGTAAAAGGATCAACTATTAATAGTATCACCAGTAGCCGGTACTTCGGCTAAATTCGTGCTACAGTGATCTTTGGCAGATACAGATAAATTTGAGCAATTAACAGCAGAAACTTCATTCGGTACAGTCAATCTCCATAATCCAAAGTCACTTCCAACAACAGTTTGCCACAAACGAACAGTGCCATCTTCACTACCGCTTGCATAAACGTGTCCATCAGGAGAAAATCTAACACAATGTAGAGGGCCAAAATGTCCCTTGCAGGTTTCTAGGATAAAGAAATAAAACATAAACTAACTAGATAAACGTTAGAGCTGGATTGTAAAGTAGACGATTTAGAACACTGAATGACTTAGATTTAGTTGACTCGAATATATACTGATAGGAAGAAAGTTGCACAAACCATAAAATGCTTTTTCTTATGACACGATCTGAAAAATTATTTTACCACAAAACTGTTATATAATGTCACCATATTTCTTGAAAAATGACTCTGAATTTTAAAGGGAAAGTAACAGCCATACGGCTTTCAAAAGCATGTATATTACACCTTGAAAACCACTTTTTGTCTAGTAGTCAATGTAAAATATGGATATCATTTGTATCTAGATCATTAATCAACAACTCAAAAATTAGACTCATTTGGATGTAAAATCAAAGCTGATTAATCAACAAGTCTCTATTTCATGACACCTTCACCTAAGAGGTAACGATAATTGTCTTTTGATCTGCGGTCAGCTACAACGTAGGACCAGGCACATATATGCATCGGTCCAAGTTGCCACATCTTATTAGCTTAAGATGAAGATCAAATTCATAGTAGTTACTTCAATGGTAGTAATATACAAAAGAAAAATAGTGTATAAAGATATAATACAGGAATAATGAATTAGTTCGTAGAGAGAAAGATATAAAGCAATTTTAATCTTGCGGTTTAAGGGAATACAAAGATCGTATACACCTACACCACTGTGATCGATTCTGAACCATGTCACCCAGAGTCTCCAATGTTACGATAGTCATGTGGACCCTAACCAAGTAATCTGCATCTACCAACATGGCTAAGACTAGAGGTTAGTGACTTTAAGGACTGATGCCACGTTTTGGTTTGGCCGTCTATAACTTTCTTCCAACCTGACATGATAGGAAGAAAAAAAATCAATTTTCGATTGATTTATTCATTATGAGTCTTATTCAACATTACATCCATTCTAATTCAATGTGATGATCATTCACGGTAGTATTTGTTTTCTTTTGTCGTATGATATTTTCTTCTGTATAATATACGATAACCTTGTATTAAATTGACATGAACTATGCTCAGTATGTGATTTGTTATAACTAATTATTTTTCATACATGTGATTTTATTCTAATTATTAATCAAAAATGGGTGTAAAATCAATATATAAACCAGTGTATTTTAGACTATTTTGATCATCGTTCGTCGTCGTGTTTTGGGGCTAATAAATCATCACTTATACCAGTTTTGTGTTCTTACTTCGCATCGTGGGAATTGCAGGGACCCCTCGTTCCGAGTATAAGTGATCAGCGTTTTTCTGGCACAACAATTGGCGGCGACGGGGTAAACCAATTACAATCCAAAGTCAGCCTTCAGCATCCAAATTTGTCATCAGTGTCCTTCAACGACATTGGTCATTAATCACAGTAATTATCATTACCGGTGCTGATTCAGATAATGACTCTCCCTTCCGATCGATTACAGCTACTATTTGGACGACAGTTGGAGTTTTTAGTCAAATTACGCACGCAGCTGTTAAGTCACTCATGCTTTGGAGATGTGACGGAAGTGGATGGACTGATTTCTCAACTGCACACAGAGCTGGAAAATGATTGCAGCCCCAATAAATCCTCGATAAACCGTATTTCAAACGGTACAACAGTCACTCAAGATCCGCCCGATGGTCCAGTACTCTCCATTCCAGAAACATGCCCGGTAATGGACTCAAACTCCATTATTCCCGAAACAGCATGTGCACACAGTGACTAATCCAGCGTACAAACAGACGCCCTGTCGAATTTTCATAGAATTGTCTCAATAACCGACCATGAAACACAAAAACCGAGCAGTACACTGAATGCAGCTGCTCCAAATGGGTCTCATCATTCTGCGACAGAAGTTTCTGATGGATCTTATTATTGAGATTCTCTTTTACCAGAAAATATGTCAGATGCATCGAATGATGGTCAGAAACCTAATACAATTTCTATAGATGCTGATTACTATAATGATCCATTATCTACAAATGAGGCTCCTAATAAAATTGGTATCTCAGAAGATTCAAATTCTGATGACTTCGAACCAAGTGGCGTTTATCCTTACTATCTGGTCAATTTTACTTGGTTCTCTGTTCAGTATGTTTTAAATACAACCAGTCGTCGTGTTTTGGGGCAAACAAATCTTCACTTATACCAGTCTTTCTGTTCTTACTTCGCATCGTGAGAATTACAGGGGTCCCCCGTTCCTAGTATAAGTGATCAGCGTTTTTCTGGCACAACACAACCATCCCCAATACTAGTCAGCATTGGTTTTTGATGTAAGCCATATGCTTATTAAGCGTTTCAATTACAAACTGTTGTAGTAGTTCATCATGTAAAAGTATCTCTTACATTCATTTGGGAATTTCTCAAGCGAACCAAATTTTACTTCAAATTGATATGGATGGTCACATAACCCGAATAACTTGCGAAACCTATTATTTTGAATGTAAATGAGTTATATTTTATAGGCTTACTAAACTGCTCAATACTTATTATGTTGTCGACGTTTTAATACGCTAATTAATTTATCTGTTTTGATAAACATTGAAAATACACTTATACGCTTGTCTTCCATGGGCGGATCTAACAATTTTTTTTTAGCTAGATTCGTTCATCGTTTATGGTAGTCAAAGTTATAAAAACTCATTTAATTCATCAGATCACAACGCTGTACCATAAAATACTCAGAATATTACCTAATATTTCACCAGTTTCCGAATTTAATCGATATATTATGTGATCATCTCCACCACATACAAGTAATTTTTCAGTGGGATGCAAGCTGACAGAATTTACTGGACACGATAGACTGAATTTTGGGGAAGCTTCAGGTGCTTCTATCACGTTGCTATAACGCCAGTCAAACGTATAAGTTTGGATTGAGTTTCCACATGCTACCACAGCTTTCACTTGATCTTCATTATAAGGGATATGGAATTGAATATCGTTGACTGGGTCTGATAATTCCTTGGACCATATCTGATGAACTGCAGCTGGCTTCAGAATATCTCGGAGATCCCACAAGCTATATGCATGAGAATATGTCAAACCGTTAATATTCTGCACAGAATGTGATAATAAAATCAACACACAAGGAGTACGGGAAATGACTACTAAGAAGAGATCAAATTTGTCATGACCGGTGATATTTTAAATTCGTAGACTGATAATTACGACGCATTGACTCATGTGAAGGCATATAAGTACACTACTTATTTGCTGCTGAATTTTTGTGACACAATGGGGATTGCTTGCGGCTTCGCGAAACACCTCGCTTATAAGCATTAAATTTAAATAAGCTCCTTACAATTCGTTGAGGCACATCGGTCTACTTCGGCTAACCGCGAAATAGACTTACGTAGTAAAATTGTGTAAAATTTACGTGAGAACCGAAAAGCCTGATGGTTGGAGCGTGCTAACGAGTTGGAAGCAGCAGCTATATCCGACAACTCCACGACGCTCTTTCAATTCATTTGAGCCACTGAAAAAATCTGGTGTGAGTGAACAACCTGTTGAGCTGATCAAACTCAACGTTTTCGACGACAGACAGAGTTCGTCGAGGAACGGCTCAGCTGGTCTGTTGCCCTGGCGACATCGACCAGACTGTTTCGTCTTGCCTATCCTGTATCAACTGATCAGACAAACGAAGTGAAAATCCGCAAGGAACTCCAACTCCACCAGACCAAGCTAAGTTACCTCCGGGCCTTTTTAAGGACGGTCGTGGCCATCCGGTTAGGGAACTAACTGACTGAGTTGTTTGAAAGCGTTTGACAACTACTGTTTCAACAAAAGAGAACTTCTTGGATTGAATGAACCTTTACTAGACGTGCTTTTTTCAACTGCTTCTTCCGTTATTTCTCCACTCTTGCTTCCCAATTTTTATTTATTTTCGTTCGTTTGTATTATACTTATTTTTTTCGTTACCTATTCAAAATTTCATTTTCATTGTGGCGCAAATACATTTTGGTGTCCCTTTGCACCAACATTTGTTTGAACAAATTTTACTGATTAGCGTGAACAGGGTGTAAAATCAAACATATCTACTTCCTACTAAAGAACGGATTTTACACTGTCAACACTAGAATGAAGATCGGAAGTTTAAGGTCTCCTTACATTAAATATCTCATTAGCCGAGATTGATAAGTACATATAAAAGTTTAAACATAAGATGTTGACTATTGGTTACTCTGAATTTTATTTTATCAGCTTTTGTGATTTGCTATATAATGTGGTAGCCCAAACTTTTCTGTTTGATTTTACGTTACATAAATCATCTGCATACCTGTATCGATGTTTTATTCTAATAAGGTTATTATAAAATGAAGGGCATAATCGAATAGTAAATGCAAACATTTATTGTCCATTACGTTACGTGTGTGGAGCATATATATCTGGTGCCCCCTTGCACCAATATTTGTGTTAAAATAAAGATAAATAATCTAGGACGTGCTTTTGAGCAGAACTGAAACATAATAAGATGCAAATTCTTCACCAGTTACATCTGAATTAACTTGTGAGACGCAAGTACATACTACCTACATATTTAACAAAAAACTAAATTGATGCACTAACCGGATAGTTTTATCCTCTGATATGGATAAAGCAAGTTTATCTTCGCCACACCATAGCAGTCGACGAATTATTTGTTCGTGTCCCCCGAATACGGATATGGCTAAATGAGGCAGATAAAAAACATGAGTGGTATTAATGAGATCATAAAAATAATTTATGCAACACCAGACGAACATAATCTCAAACACGAAAGTGAAATAATTTACGTGATTTAGGAGCGTTTAGATCATAGACCGAAATCTTTTTCCAGTTATTAGCAGTGAGTAATTTTGCGCCTGAGTCAGTTTTGCTCAAGTCAACGCACCGAACAATATGATCTTGGGTAATTGAAAGGAGCTCCGAACCGGAGTTTGCATCCCATACTTTGGCAGTGAAATCCGCCGCCCCTGTAGCAGCCTTAGTAGCATGCTTGTCTAAGACACACGACCAGACAGCTCCTTTATGACCTAAAAATGTTCCAATCCAATCTCCTGTATCACCTTGGCGCAGAATTGCTTTACCATCTGAAATAAAAGAATAAACGAAATTAAGTGATCTGTGTTCTGAAAAACAAAATTAAATAAAACAGACACTGATGGCATTTAAACACAAAATAAAATCTATCTAGACTAACATTTATTGCACATGACAATTGCGCTATGAAAGTAAGGTCACTTGACAATAACTTTTCCATAACTCGTCCCCTGAAGTAATCGATGGTTTACGGCTAGAATACGACCATTTGAAAGATTATGGTGAAATCCCAGTCTTTGATTTGAACTTAAGTGGAGACTGATACCTTTCTGTTTACAATATATCAGATGATGGGACTTCAGATAGCTTCAAATAGATAAGTGGAGCAAAAGTTATTGTGGTCCCCCTTTAATCTGGGAATAGTTCTACAATTGCTAGTTCCCTGTTGTTTTATTTCTTTGCCTTATTGTTTAGTGATTGGTCTTTGCTGGGAAAGTGGTTATATGTTGTTTCTATTTGCTGCAAAATAAAGACTAGTAGAAAATGTAAGGCGAATCAGAAACTTAACAAATGAAGAACATAACGCAAGATCTAAAAAACCTTAGGAACTATAGAAAATGATTTCAACCCGGTTATATAATATGAAGTCAAGGTTAGAAAGGACCTAATGATAACCATAATGAAGTGGTGGTAATAAACCACCTAGCCCGAACAACCAGTGCCTAGTGTCTCTACTTCCTCACACATGAAAAGGGCTAGAATGGCCAAACTATGACTAGCCCCGAACTCCCCCAAGTCAAACTCTGAGGCCGGTCAAACCAACACCAAGTTATTCAGAGGATGGACTGACAAACAGGCCCAACAACTGAATCTAATGAAGCTGAAATCCGTCTATGAAGGTGCGGTAATTGTGAATCAACGGTTAGAAGATCCTGGGTCCAAGGTATGCAGTCGTGTGAGTATAGGAGATATGTTCTTGAAAATGAGCCACCTTATGGTCTTGGACTACTATTACAACACTCAGTAAGCGATATTTCTTAGTTTTGAAATATGCTGAAGATGAAATTTCATCTAAACACGTTCAGACTAATTGAGTAGTATAAAGAAAAAGAGGTTGAAATATGTAAATAGATTATTACAAGAATCAGAATGGTTTAAGACAAGTTTGTTAAATTGATTTAAAGATACAGCCATTGAAACTGCCTAAAAGTCTTAACCACACACCATTTCACAGGGTTATTGGCAGATGGCTTAGCGGCAAAATTAATCTATGAATGAACCAATGAAATTGGTTAGTCTACGATTTTGGCTTAAAACTTATTAATTACTTAGTCTAAACAGCATCTTAGCATCATGACTGATGTCCTTTTGTGACGGAAACTCTAAATCTAACTTCTAAAGTTACAACCTAATACTAGTACTAATTTATGGCCCATTTTTGAATCTTGTAAGTAGGTGAACTTTCTAAGGGTCCTCAGTCTCCCTACTTTAGGGGAACCGCTATGAAAAACTTTGGGAAGATGGCACAAAAACCCCAAAATTTTCTCCAAGATAATGAGATTGGGTCTCACCACCTTCGGTCAATGGATTCCCCTCTGGAATTGACCAGTGGACTAGACATAATTACGTTCTAATTATCCGATATTTTGGTTAACGGCATTAAACTGTGTATCATTAACATTTATCCCTATCATAAGTCGAGATTGTTTGAGCACAGTTAAATAAGGATTTGCATGATCACCATGCACTCCTGTTTAATATACGTACCTTTTGAAGCAGTGATGAAAAGATGTCCGCAATCTGTCTCTCCGCTATAACAGATATCAACGACCGGACGTGTATGCCCAGGACAGTACACAGGTGACTGCTTTGGAGTCTGGATCATAACACGCCGGACAGTATTATCGACCCGGCTGGTTGGCCTTGAGGAAGCATCGTCTATCGTTTAAAACTACAAACACAACAAATAAGTGTAACATGTCAATAAAATCAATTAGACAGAATAATTTCGAATGACAATGAACGGAATAAGAGCTTTAGCTAAATGGGCTTCTCATGTACATCAACAAGTAGTCGGCGATACCTACAAGGACTCTAAGATTGTAGCGGTAAATTAATCCCAAATATAACTAGTTCTGTAAGCCTTCGAAATTAGTCTTGATTTCAGTAATTTTACTGGACACACTCCTGCTTAAGGCGTCTGATTATAAATCCTCATTAGACTATCATACAGTATGTCATGCCACTCAACCCTGGTAACAACTAGCCAGCTTGGACCAAATACCTCTTAACATACTGACTACCTTCTAAGTATATATCCAAACTCCTGCATTCATAACTTCTGGTTTAACTAGGTTTTGGATCCCTTGACCATACACGTGCTACAGATAACAGCATTGTCAAGCCCTGAATATCCTTGACGTCTCTAAGGTAAATTTAAGCTATCACAACCGGATGCTGTAATAAACCCGTTCCAGTTTTAGCATGATAGGTGGAATAAATTTAATGTGATCATGTTTCAGATCAATAGATTCTATTCGTTGGACACTGTGAAAGTAGTTAACCTAAACTTAGTATGTAATTAATTCTCTATGATTTTTTACAAATCGTTATTCGTTGAGAAGTTCAACAGTCCTCTGTAAAGTAGTTTATACCTTCACACACATACAAAACTATGTTGCTGGGAGAAGATAAAGACCTTTTCAAAATAAATACGTTTTAATTCATTCAATCACTTTACATGGGAAACAGACACTCAACTAGCTCAATGTATTTCTATTTGCATATGCTTGTGAGTTGTCCCACCTAGGTTAAAGTCCTGTAGGGCCAGTGAAATGTCACTGAGCCCTGGCCAAAGCATCAAGCAGTTGGGTCACTGAATATCGGACGGATCATCGATCCCTGTCAAGGTAAAGGACAACCAACGTGCATCAGTTAATCGTACGCCATGAACTGGCCCATGCGGTGGTGGTCACACTTTCTCTTGTGCTTATTCTCACTGATATATTTCTGTAACAACGTCCTTCGTGTTGTACAGTCCTCAAAGCATCCATAGTACCTTGATAAGACGAAAGGTTGATCCATGTTAAGTGCTGACTGAGAGGTGTGACTACGACGTTAGCTGTTGGTCACATTATTCTCGTCTAGTTGACTATCGTGACTCTTTAGCGAGCATTGGCAGCTTGTAGATGCTTTTGTGTAATATGTCTGTTAAAATATCAACCACTCATAAGTATGGCCACAAGGAAACATGAACGCACATCTGTTTGTAACTTATTCAATTGTATAAGCGAGACAAGATTCACTGTCGATTGTAAATTCATGTTTCTGTTTAACCACTATCAACTATTTACTAGAAGTTTTTAATTACATGACCACTGCCTGCCTAATTTCCAGTTGCTGAGTTCCACGATCAAACAGAGGATACGAATGCTAGAAACTTACGATGAGTTTAAAATATAAATTTCCTGCAATCTTTAGTCTCGTTTAGACTGTTCGTCGGGCAGTGCCACGTATTTGGCTTAAATTAATTCTGGACTTATACAAATTCAGTCTACAACGCTGTGTTAATCTACAGTACCTCGTATATAATCCAGATTTGAACTACTGTCTTCTTCAAATTTCCAGCACTTGGAAGCGAGAGTAACCCAGGCGAGTTTCATAATTGCATTGGATACTTTCGTGCTGTGTTTATGATGCCTAATAACGTTTCGTAGTTGCTTTCACGTAGAGTAGTCATATATTCTGTCACTGCCATCGATTTCTAGTCGAAATCATGTAAATTTATGACTCGTAATCCGACATATTGTGGAAAAACTCATTGCATGTACACGAGCAATCTTAGGCCATGTGCTAACTAGACACTTCATCGTACATAATATGTTACTTGACGCTAGATAGAAATCTCACTGCATCAACCTTTTACGAAATGGTCACGTTATCTGAACCTTCTAAACCTTAGTTACATTGGTGATTACCATTTTAATAAATGTTTACTATACGCTCTGCATTTTCTGTTATCTGACACGGTGAATCATGACTGAACTTCCTTATTACACGGAAGTCATTTTAATTCCATTTTCGGTTTATCTAGATGCAATACAAGTTCAGAAAATGCCTAAACCACCTCTAAAATTCTCCACGAACGCCATCACAGTCTACGTATATGTTTTTATTCACACATCCGACTGTTACAATAATAATACCTAAACAAATGTTTAGTGCAACTGTCAATATACGCAAGAACGATTTTTTTTTCGATGTGACGTTATAACACATCCGAACTATTGTAGCTATTTAATTTCGGCGTCGTTCATTATTTTAGTAGGTATTGTTTCCTCACACTTGTTATCTAAATGATGATGTCGGCACGACAATCAGCTGTTCAATTACTCGATGATTTAAAGGCTGTCCAGTTCAGTAGGTCGTCTGACAACAATGTTATTTGCGCAGATTATCAGTTTACGCAGTCGAGAGAATCTCCTGCAAATTGAAAACGACATTTTCGCCCCCAGCCCGACACTGACAGTGTTTTTCATTGATATCATTGACATGAGTCCAGAGTGACACTCTTGGTTCCTTATGTTTTTTTCGATACTTTTTGGTTCACTTATCGAACAAACATAATCGTTTAAACACTTCATCAGTCCACCTTCGCTCTTCATCTGTAGTCTTCGACCCTTAAACAGAGTTCGACACTTCCGAAGGGAAGCTTCCAACGACACTGTCTTACGTCACACTTTAAACCAATAATGGTACAAACATCGACATTGATTGATAATACACTTATCATGCTATCGTTGTAGCATCATTACTCTTGCGGCAAGCTTAACGTTTCTCATCTGAGGACTTCAATCACTCGTCAAAACTGTATATTTCAACGCACTTTGGTAGAACTTCAAAATGTTCTGTTTTTCTTAAATTATTTTTATGGTTAATCGCTTTACAATCAACCAAGGTCCTAGTAATTTATTACTATTCGCTGTTTCACTGGCCCTTCAGTCGTATTGGTTGGATGCGTCCTGTATATTATTCTCTTTGAATATAATCTGAATAAGGGTTAGCAGGATCGAGTTCGGAAAAGCCAACTTCGATGTATAATTACCATTACTATTTGTGTACTCACACATGATTTTATAGGGTCTTGAGCAGGCATCGTTTTTAGCGAATTGTCTAATTGCTTGTAATAGGACTACTCGGTAGGAATTAAAACCAATTCAGCGTTCTAAACACGATTTAATGGAGTATTTTGCATAATAAATTAGCATCAATACCATTGGTTAATGACATTCCACTAGACCATAAGGAGCCGTAATTAAACAAAATGTTCTGCCCCACGGACATGGGTGGATTGAAGTTATCTCCTCATTATCATGTTTGCTGACCAGTAACGTCACCCCCCTCCTTTTGTGATGTTAGACCCCCTTACGTTTGTGGTATGAATTTTGCTTTAATCAAAGCCCATAGTTGGGATACACTGTCTCTACTAGTTCCATGTTACAAGCGAATCAGATAGTTAAAGAAATTGTATTATGGGTTAGACATCCATTTAGTATATCACACTGCTATGAAGATAAATAATGGTAAAAGTTAAAAAACAGGTTAGATTATATGTGGTTTAAAGATGGTGAGGACTAATAGCAAACCAAAGGATATGAAAGAGTATAAATTTGTAGGACTTTCAGGGCAAGAAAAATAAAACACTGAGCAACTCACAAGAACTTAGGACATTTCAGGCTCCGTATGATCGAACTTCTTATTATTTTTTAATATATAATATACTTGACATGACGGATAGCGACTACAGTAGTATTAATATAATAGACTCCCATGTACGTGTACCGAATCCTTGGCACTTTTTATTCGGGTGACAGTAAATCCCACGCTTTGTTCGAGAAAATTTTCCCTATTAACTATTCTCCTCGCTGACCCGGCTGCTTGGTACGGAACGCATACACATCACCGTCTTCCACCCAGCATCAAATGGTTAAGTTGAACGGTTCCATTGCCAACTTAAGAGTGCTCTGCGAGCACACGAAAACGACAATTGGTACGAAACCTTACCGCTTGCTCTCTTAGACATCAGAACGAGCTTGAAGGCAGACCTCCAATTTTCTGCCCCTGAACCTGTATACGGCACGAGATTGCGTCAGCCCGGGGAATTTTTCGCACCACGGAGCAGTAACGATTTCGGTAAATAAGAATAAGTCCAACGACTGTCTGCATTTATGCGAACGCTGCCTCCGGTGTCAACTCGAATACAACATAGACAGGTTGCTCTCCCTCGAGAGTTATCTACCTGTTCACATGTTTTCATACGAGTATATTCGGTACGCAAACCTTCGAAACAGCCTTACGAAGGCCCTTTTCACGTGATCGCTCGTCACGAAAAGACATGGCCGCATCGAGATCGTTAGTATTGATTGTCCCAAACCAGCACACGTCGATGACAGTGCCCTATCTGATAACTTGAGATTCAATTCCAGACCTATCAAATTTACTAGCGGGATCCTTAGATCTTCTTCAGATCCCACGCTAGATACATCTGAGACCTCATTCTCACGTCCCGGTCAACAGCACGTGTCATCTGCACCATCTACGGAAGAGAAGACAGTCTCACGTCCAGATCAGCAAACCACTCCGCCCTTGACTTCGAATGAGATTGCAGGCTCACGCGATACGAACGAAACTACCGTCTCACGTTCCGGTCGCCGAGTACGGTTTCCCGTACGCTTCCGCGACCAGCCACACAGCTAACAAGCGATACGGTGTAGGACTATTCCTATACTACATGCATGCTACACTTCCCTTTTTTCGATTTCTTTTCTGTATCCTGAGCCCACGCCTCCGACCATCCCCGTTTGGTATCGTCGACTTCAGTCAACTTTGGCGAAAGCTGGCCTGATCACCCACGCTCTTGTCAACGCACTCAGTCGATATTTTGGTTTCGAA